ACTGAAAGGACTTTATCATACCCAATATTTTTTATAAATATTGAACAAGACAGCCGATTGTGTTTTTATGATTTAACGTATTGAACTATAGTTTTAGTTTCTATATTTAATCTTACTTTTTTACAATTATTGTCCTGAAAAAGAAGCTTATCTAAATATTATGCACTTTTACTAGTATACAATAATCTTACACTAACTGTTATTGTATGAAAGTTAATTTAACCTTGGCAATTCAGTATTTATAATTCATGCATATTTTACTTTGTATCATTTGTAAATATCAAATGTTATTGAGCTGTTAACTTGTCAGAGGAAATTACCCCTCTGATAAATTTGAAGAACACAGTCCAAATTTCTTTATGTGTCTAAACAAACACACCTTCAAGAAGTTAGACTATGTATAGATCTTAGTGTGTTATATTTGTAAAGTTATATTTAAATGAAAATATGTGAGTTCTAGATCAAAAACAAAAAGTAGTAACTTAGAAGTAGAAAATAGTTTTCTAATGTACCATCAAATATTGAGAATTTCTAATCTTGTCATCAGTAATACGTGACCACGTGATGACCTTTGTATTTCCTAAAAAACAGCAGTCTTGATGTGAGACAGAGGATTACCTCAATGTTTTATGTATAGAACATCAAGAGAATGGTAAGTGTTGCTATATTAACTAATAGTAAAATTGAAGAGTAAGACGTTCATTTATTACATTGAGTTGTAGCAAAATGTAATGATGAATGGAGGGTTCAATAAATATCATTTTTAGGATGATAAAATTATTGAGTGAATTATTGGTTATAATAACTGCTTCATTCAAATATTGGATAATAAAAAATGATATATATTATAATAGTTGTCTTGTTGAATTGTGAAAGCAAAACAGCAAGTTTGTTAAAATCCTACAGAACATTCTCCATTTACAGTAACACTATCCTTAGAAATGATAACATCTTTGGTCTATAGAAACACTGTAAAATGTACGTAAGTGAAATGACATATTTTGTCAGGAACAATAAAAATCATAGTTATATGGATAGCATAAAGTCAACTAGTAAAACAGTATGTCATCAAATATATTGGATTTACTTGTAACATAATTAAATCTAGACATTGATGATATAATCACATGCTGAAATATCCTATGATGTGATCATCATGGCGGCCTAACAACACTCTTTCTGGACATCTTCCGTTGTCATGACAACATCCGCCTGTCATGGCGCCAGCGCCCTCTGATTCCACTTCGTGGAACTATGATGTTTCGCCTAGCAATGCAGTCTCTGTCTTTTGCCTTTCATAGCAATACGCCCTCTGGTAACACTTAGTAGAACTATGACGTCATCGTCTTCCTCCATTATCTGAGGTCGACACAATTATTGCTCCCTCTGGCGGCGTGACGCTCGGATACCGCCCTAACTACTTATATTCAACTAGCCTACTTGCTTACTTGCTAAAGCAGATGTAAAAGTTGTTCTGGTGCATTATAAATAGATTTCTTCTGCAGGTTTAACTTTTACCTGATTTCAAACCACAGTTACGAATTCTTTTTCCTGTTTTTATAAATAATAAATTAAGAACAAAACTCGTTATTGTTGTTAGTCATTCTTTATGAGTTATGAAGAAAACTAAAAATAGTCTCAGTTGAACTTTGAAACTTGGACTTGTATTCGAATTTTTTCTATGTACATGTTCATTCATTTAAGTCTGTACTCTCTCTTTTTGAGTTTATTTTTTTAAACACACACACACACATATATATATTCTTTGTATGAATTTGTACTCTTTCGATATTGTACTGTAATTTATAATAAAATCACAATGAAATATCACAAGTTGTACACTCACGTAGTTCCCCCCCCCCTCCCCACCCCAGTGGCACAACGGTATGTCTGTGGACTTACAAAGCTAGAAACCAGGTTTCGATACCAGTAGTGTGTAGCTTTGTGCTTAACTTCAAACAAACAAAATATAATTCAGATAAAATAATCTAATTACTCAGGTTAGTTCCCATGTTCGTGCTTAATTTTATAAAACTTTATCTACTTATTTTTGTTCTAACGAGAATAGAGAGGAATCATTTCAATTTTTCTGTCTTTCTTTTTAGTATTATGGGACACATAATAATCTGTTTTTATTGAATTCACGTGATCAGTAAACACCTATTATTATAATTAGAAATCTAAAATCTGTGATCGTTACGGTAATGTATTAAGAGTTCCACAAAGATCGACCTTCTGATTGTGACACTTTATCATATGACAGGTTGGTTCTACAGACGGTCCCTTGAGTCAGAATATGTATTTATTGTATTCACGTTCATGGGCATTTTGGGAAAGTATTTTTAAAACGTGAACCTAGAAACGAAAGTGATCATATTACAGCTTTTTAGTCTTTCCAGTACGAACAGTTTTGTTACACATAAAAATTCATTTTTGGTATAAATGTGAACCACAGACATAAAACTTAACTACTTGTTAAATACGCCACAATTATAGAAATACATTCAAACATAATAAAATTTAGCTTTACCTTTAGCTGTGTCGAAATCTTTCGTTGACGCAAATGTGTTACCCTCTGGAGAGCCTCGTGATGAGCGTAGTTAGAAGTTTGGTCTAAACTCTGCATCTTCTATGAGATGAATAACAAATACATTAAACATTTAAGATTTTTTTCGTTTTCGTTTTAAAGATGCAATTGTATACAAAAACCAAATCCGCATTAAAGCTTTACATAGAAATTCAATTTTATTCCAAATTAAACATTTTTGAATATTATTAAACATTTCAACTATAAAGAAATAGAAAGAAAAATTGCTTTCAAACAAAAATACACGAGCGAGAAAATCATTAAAAAAGTGAAACACCAGTCTTATTGCTGCTCTACGCAAAGGCTAGAATATATATATATATATATTACTTTAAGCTTTCCTTGAGAAATTTAACATTTGTTTGATGACTCTTGTTGTAACAAATAACAGCCGCAAAAACAATAAAAAACAAAGAAAAACACTTCGAAGTGCAAGATAACAAAACGCTATATTATATGCAGACATACTAGATGTTTTCTGTCTTCTTTAATTAGTAAAGTGAACTTTATTGGAAAATAAAAGTATATTGGCGTTAATATTATTAGCTCAACCGAGAATTAAATTCCGTATTCAAGATTTTCATTGTTCATCCAGTAACTAAACTTGCGAGTAACATTCTTCATTTACAAGCTGAAGATTTTGTTTGTTTGAAGTTAAGTACAAAGCTACACAATGTGCTATCTGTGCTGTGCCCTCCACGGGTATCGAAGTTCTAATACGTAACAAGAAGCATTCCAACAGTAGGGCAAGCTTGGCCATGTTATTAACCAGTTTACAGAAACCTACCTTAAGTTTTGTTTTCATAAGAAACCATTGATAAATGAAGAAGCACAAGCCAAATGCAAAAATAATTAGTCAAATTACACAGTATAAATTTAGGCCTAAACGGATGTATTTAAATCAGCGATCATACAGTCAGAAACACCTAAAGCTTTTGAAAAAAGTATAAGCTTAAATCTATATATTTTTACTGTATTTAAATGTTTTGATGAAACTTTATATGACTGGAGCAATATAAATTGCTCTTCACATTAATTAGTTTCTTGAATACGCTATAAAGAATGTATCCACAAACGTGATCTTGCGCATGGTCTCTGTGAATCTCGTGTTACGTAGGCTCAAACATTTAGGCTAATGCGTTATGAGACTTATGAATTGAGAATTAACAAGTAAAAGTTCTCAAAAGCGCTATTACCATTGTTACTCTACACCAGTAGATCTGAAATATTAAGTCGTCAAGAAATTAATGTCGCGTTTTCGAACACTTTCATTAACCACCCCTAAAAAAACGTACCTCATGTATAATAGTTAAACGAACCTCCTAAACGTCACGTTAGTGTAGCCTATATAAT